AAATTTTAAAACCTGGTTCAAAGAATCTAAAGAAATATTTTCAAAGAGATTTATGATTATTGCTAGTTTTGCAAATTGAAAATAAAGAGAGTGGAGAAACATTCCACATATTAACAGGAACGTATTTTATACCCAATTTTAGAACATGAAATTCAGGGTGCTTATAATTAAAGTTGCGATTTCAAAACGCTCTAACTTTAAAACCACAGGTCAGAATGACTTGATATTTTGCTAGAACAATTGCGAGGCAATGGAATTCTGTTTAGCGAAGGAAAAAATAGTTCCAAAAATTTTCGATAGATGGCGCTTTCAGTGTTCACATTGCTGTTGTGGATATATAGCCCAAAGGAAACAATAAACTCCAAGGGTTTACGATAATTTTATTAGCGAAAAGACAAGGATACGTATTTACAGAGAAAACAGCGATAGTGACCAGAGAAGCTTCACGAAACAAACACCTTACCGAAGATTAATGCATAAGTTGTTCGATGTGATCTCCTCCTTGTTCAGCTGCTAATTGGGAGCGCAAAACTCAGTATTCCACTTCAGATCGGAAGGTATCTGTGCTGATGCTGTGAATGTTTTTCATGATGTTTGCCTTCAAGTGGACCAAGATTTACAATCCGCCCACTGCAAACAACATTTTTCAGATATCCACAAAGCTTAAAGTCACACGGATTAAAGTGGGGATAGCGTTACGACCACACTGTTGGAAAATTCTATCATCTCCGAAATGAGCGATCAGCAGCAGCTTCACATGAGTAGCAATGTTCGGAGCGGCGCTATCTTGCATGAGTATAGTGCGATCCACAGATTGACGCTGCTGAAATGTCGGAAGGACATGGCAAGCGGTATGAAGCAAAAGTGCTTCATACCGCTTGCCAGTAACTGCGCAGGTAACGGGACCCGCAGGTGTGATCTTCTCGAAGAAGAACGAACCGACGACTAACGCTGCCGTTATTCCACACCATACAGTGACGTTTTCAGAGTGAAAAGATAATGGTTGTAGCGGGAACGGATTCTCGGTCGACCGTATCCTACAATTTTGCGTATTTACAGAAACTTGCAAAAAGAAATAAGCTTCACGAGCTTCGTCAGACCACATAATGTTCCAAGACCATTCATTATCCACTTCCATCCGGGCAAGAAATTGTAGTGGAAACGATTCACATGTTTCCATATCAGCAGGATTAAATTTATCTATCATTTTCTGCTCGCTATATGTGGTCATTGGGCCGGATTTTATGCCTTTTAATGTAAGGAAATTCCTGATAGCTGTTAACGCACAGTTACCATTCTGATAGGAAAGCTTCACGAGAAGAGCACAATCCTTCTTCGTCATAGTCATGACGAAGCACTCAGACAAAATGTTGTTAGTGCTCTGCATTTTTATCTTAGCCATGTCTGCAGTGCGCATGTTATGTCTTAGTAATTTGCATACCAACAGCAATGTGAACCGTGACAGTGCCATCTATCGGTATATTTTTAAACTTTTTTTCCTTCGCCAAACAAAATTCCATTGCCTCAGGATTGTTCTAGCAAAATATCAGTACTTTATCGTTACCCACACAGCATCAACCAGTAGAACTACATCAAGTGAAAGCCAAGCAGCCACACGTTCAAAATCCACGTTTCATTTCCTAGAAAAAATGGAACAAGAAACACGTATCAAGACCATACCCTTCTCTCATATATCTACTAAATATCCTGATATCCCATAAAGTTTTGCACTTTTGGACTTTTAAAAAGCGGATTGTCAAACATCGAATTAAAACCTTCCTTGCACTTGGAAACACTTGGAAAGTTGTTCAAGAGACATGGAATAAAATACCTCTTCCGATACTATAGAAAGCCTTATTATTTTAGAATTTTGCAGTGTGGAAAGATAATAAAGAATAAGGGTTATCAAATAAAACATTTAAAACACAAAAATTTTATCTAAAATAGTTCTATAAATATAATGAAAATCATCTAAAAAAACGTGAGAGCAGCTTTTGTACACATTTCAAAACTTCATAATAAAATCGAAATTGTCAGACAGTGTTTTCCGAATAACCAGTATTTTCAAGCATTTTAACCCACAGAATATATTCAAATGGCTACTTAAATTAAACCAATACTCAAATACTACGGATGAATAAACGTAATTAGAAATGAAGAAATAGAGCAGTAAGTGGTATGAAACGATAATATTCACAAGAAAACTCGAGCAATATCATTGAGATCAACAAAAAAGTTGGTAAAACACTTTTTTTTCTGTTTTGTTTTTTGGTACAATTCATCTGAAAGACATCATTTACTATCGTTACTGTTATGTTACACATTTTTACTTCCTTTTTTGTATTTTCTGCAGGCAGTTTTGCTTTCGCTGATAATCTGCAGCATTAATTTTTCTATCATTCCTCAATGAACAAACTTAATCCTTGTTTTAAACAGGGATCGGTTAATCGCCGTAAGTTAGGCGGGAATTGAGTACAAATGTAAATTTTCCTTATTTTGCTAATAAGGTAATTTTTTATTTTTGTTTTCGTATCCAACATACTCTTGCTTATTTCGCTCATTCACTGCAGAAATGATTAATTAAGAAAAGCATCTTAAAAACTGGGAAATAGGTGTGAGCATGATTGATCATATTGCCTGAGGAGAATGATTGATTAAATAGTAATTATTATTGTAACAACCAGGATTAATTAATTAGCGACAGTAACCGTGATAGTGAATAATGGCTGAGTGCTGTCCTTAATGGGAAGCCGACATTTTAAAGATATGATAGCATAATCTTTTAAGATCTGATAGTAAACACAAATAAAAACAATGCCAAATGCGTTCTTAATCACTCAACTGTAATAAGTTATGTTTTAATATTAAAACAATGCTGCTTGCATTAAGATTCACATTATTACTTTTTGATACGAAGCATAAACAAAGAAACTAGAAAGTATTTCAAAGTAAAGAAATAAAATTACTGGGGATGTCCTTCCTTTTTAGTATGCACAACATCTTCATCAGTATTGCGAACTGGGAAATTCTCGAAGTTAGCGAGGTGGTTATGCACGATCCCGAACGTGACCATCATCATAAGCATGAAAAATCTCACGTGATTAATAAGACGTAAAAGTCCGAGTGCGTCTTCTTTAGATGACTGTATTTTCTGCTTTCTTCGTCTTCTCTCCTCCACTGTTATGTCTTCGAGCTCGAAATTTATTGTAAACAAGCAAAAAAAAAAAAAAAAAAAAAAAAAACCATCGGAATGAAGCTTGAATGAAAGTTATTAAACTCGTTTACAAGTTCGCTTCATTTTTTCATGGTTGAATAAGCCATCTATGGCTTTAAAAACGATGCGGCGAATTTTAAACAATTTGAGTGCGAATGTGAAACTTGGATGCTATTAATGGCCATATGCCGAAGTTTCTGCATTAAATATTTATTTAACATCAGTGAATACTAGCATTCAGCCCACCGCAAATGCGTTGCTTCACTTTTCATTCGAGTCGTTTGCCATTCGGAAAAACGTAAGGTATTGATTGTTCTTTCATATTTAATCTGTCTGCTGTTGATAAACAAATTAAGGTATTTAAAAACAATAGATGTAGTTCTTAAAAATATTGTTGCTGCGTACGTGTTCGTAATCGACTGAATGCATACATCACCGATGATAGCTTGATAAAATTATTTTTATCAAAAAGAACATGTCACAGTTCTGAAACTTTCCACAAAAATACTCGTAAAGCTGTTTACAATATCATAGAGTACTTCAGTAATTACATTTCATACGACTAAGAACGTTAAACACAACGCAATGCCAAGTGCATCTAAAAGCTGAAGCTGTATCGCATGTCTCAATACTCCGTATAATTTAATATTCCATGCAAGGAAGTCATGTGGTGTACACATCAGATTTTTTTTTTATTCTCCTGAAGAAGAGAGATATATACCTGATCTTCCTAGAAATCGACAGAGTTTTGCTCGATAGGCCTAATAAGAATGCTTGCTTACCTAAATTAAAAAAAATTCAGCATTCATATTTCATTATATTGTACTGCCGTATATTTCGGGAAAATTTTTTATTTCTGTCTTTAAGATATCGAAGTGTCCTCTTTATTTCAGGCATTTAACTCCCTCACAAATTTGATAATTCGTCGAATACCGCAGATATCAACATTAATCGAGCGCTCCAATTCCATAGTTAGCCTGGCATACAAGACACTGATATATTGTAAAGACTTTACTATCTTTTTGGGGGCAGGAAAGATGAAAAATGAGCAATCGCCTTCGCCGGGAATCGAACCACGGACCTCTGGAATACCGGCCCAGCGTCAGAACCACTACACGAAGGCACGCTAGGAAGGCGGGAGAAATACCTTATATACTCCCCCTTTTAAAGGGCAACTGCGGCTTTTAGGGGGCCCAATCGCCAAATCCTGGGGGAGGAGAATCATCATCCAACACTCTTTCAGTTCGGGCGCCACTGTAGAGACATTAGTTTAATTGGAAAAGCCGGAGAGATGAAAAATTAGCAACCGCCTTCGCCGGGAATCGAACCACGGACTTCTGGAATACCGGCCCAGCGTGCAAAACCACTACACCACGAAGGCACGCTAGGAAGGCGGGAGAAATACCTTATAATATAATTACAGGTTAGGAACAATCATTTATGACTACATAGTCAAAACAAGGTTTTTAGCTTTAATTTTACACAACATACAATTTAAAAAATACAAAAAAGTACTATGGTTTTTGTTAAAAACGGAACAAAATTGCAATTTTTATCAAATTTACGACGCAAATAAAGAAGTATAATCGGTTATGAGTTTTTGAGGTAATACAGGAAAGATAAGGAAAAGGAAAAAAATATCATTTTTTCTTTGTAGGAAGAACCGATCTAATGTATCCATTCGTTAGGTAACTCCATGTGATGCAATTGAGAACGTTGAAAACCGGTTCTCTTCTACCATCCATCGAAACGATCTATGCTAGCAGCGTAATGTGACATCGTGTCGCTGGGTTTGTGTAAGATTTGTTCTTGTTTCGGATGGGCACGAGTTTGTGAAGCAGCGTGGAGCAATTCTTCTTTTGATGACTCTTCCAACGGTTAGTGAGATTTTAGTTTTCTTTACGTGAAAGAATAGTTAAATTTAATTAAATATTGTTCTCAATGTTTAAACCATTATATGCGGGATATATCACTTCATTTTAATAATCTAATGCTTATATTGTACCCCAAATTCTTATTTAAACAGTGCATTTCACCGTTTTTAGTAGAAATAAGTAAAGTAAATGTTTTTCATATAATGCACGTAGAATTTTTCATTTTGGTGTCATATAAAGATATTGTTTGTTAAACCTAATATTTTATTTTAGATATGAAATAACTTCTGCCATTTACATGATTTATTATATTAAAATAAAATAATTTGGCACTTAAATAAACATGTCAACGACCCTGAAGTTTTGAAATTTTTTAGAAGCAAAAATATATAAAAGAAATTGTAAAATGGCTTTGCAAGTAAAATCAGCTCACATACATTAATATATAAGCATGATTTGATAAAAATTCTTTTTCGTTTGCTGATTATTATGTACGTTCTATAGATTAAAAGATGTTGCCAAATTTCATATCGTAATTTACAAATGACAGCGATATTAAAATACTATTAAATAATTTTATTAAAATAACATGAATATTTAAAATCTGCTTAATACGTACCAAGTTGTATAAGATAATTAAGTCTACACGATTCTTTGAGTTAAAACAAGGAATTATGTTTCATTTTACCATAAAAATTAAGAGTTAAACGACTAATTATCTTAAGACATTTTTTTTTAAATGTCTGTCAGCACATAAAATTCAAACTATATTTTTAAGTAAAAAAAAAAAAAAAGCATTTCATAATCAGACTAATACAAAATCAGTATGGTTTGCGTTTTTATTTGTTATTTAAAAATATCTTTTTGTTTAAATAGCAAAGAAATGAGAACTTTATGAATTATTAATTCAATACAGAAAATACTGTTTTCATATTGGTTCGAATTAGATTAGGAACACATTAAAAATATAGAATGGGCATGATGTCGATTGCTATTTAATAAATTTTAGGAAAAAAAATAGATTTTTATTCGCCCAATGTAAAATCAATATCTTCATTATTCTACTTATTTCAGAATAAAGAAAATCTTCATTTCTGAAATTTTAACATGTAAGATGTACAAAAAAACCAAATTTCAGTTAATATTCACACTAACTTAAAAATTTGTTAAAAAATCGAGAAATATTAGAAAACAAATTCCAGATAATTATAAGCATTTAAAAAAATCGTGTCCCTCTGAAACTCCAAGTGAACCATAACTTCAATTATTAGCTTTCTGAAATAATATTTCGTTTGATTAAAAATGAAAAATTGAAGTAAATTAAATAATTATTTAATTATTAAATAATTATTTAATTTATGCAGTTTTAATTAAATGCATCAAAATATATAGCAAATGACAGGACATTTCCCACTTGACGAATTCGTCGGGCAACGATGTATAAAAATTAATATATTATTATATAAAATATTAATTTATATTAAACTAATATAAGTCAAAGAATATTACAATAGTTAAATATTGTAATATTCTTTGATATACGTGTTTAACTCTTGGGTTTTGTTAAGTTAGAATACAGCGCCACCTATTGGATAAGGAGAGAAACTCTCACTTGGCCATCTGGATTCGGCTAAGCAACATGCCACAGCATGTATTAGAACTGAATTTTAATTACTGTAAATAAATTAGTTAGTTCTTTTGCTATACAGTCCACTCATTAGATTAAAATCATAGTACAGGTTTATTATTAATGATGAATTTTGAATCAAACCTGTCAAAGAGATAAATGAGAGAATTGCATATAATCACTGTTATCCATTCAAATTTTATACAGTCACTGCCCCAGCAGCTGCTGATGTAAATGTTTTCTAGCCCTCAAGCAGTAATAATGCCATGGTGTAAAAATGGTAAAATTATATTGGACATGCTTTTGTGAATTAATTTTGAATGTCGTGTATAATATGCATATTCTGTAATATTTAGATAAAAATTCAAATTTCTGACAGAGCCGCTTTCGAAAGCCAGGCTAAATAATTCTGAGACAAGCACCTCTCAACAAATTAGAGAACCATGGACCTCCCCTCCCTGTATAACGGCTAAAACGGTCTATGAAAGCTAAAAGAAATCATAAAACATGCAAATATCACATGTGACATAATAATAAGATTTGGTTCGGTTTATTTACTTAATTATAAGAAAGCACTCAAAGGCTACCTACCTAAAGGAAAGGATGCCTTCGTGGAGGTTTTTCTAACGGAAACTGGCTCATATATACGTTAGACATAAAGGAAACCACGAAAGCACCCATGCAGCCAGCCCATCGCCGGTATTCAAACTTCCGAACCGACTACCAGTGTTTATCAAGTTTACCGCTCAACCAATAAGGGGGCTTCAGTAAGTGAGGTATTTTCTTTAGGTAGAAGTAAGAATGACTATTAAAGTGAAATATCAATATGCAAAAATGATAAACAAATATTTAGAGAAAAGGGTTTTGAGATTTACTTTAAGAATTAAAATCTGTGGGCACGGCTCTGCAGCGAAATATTCTATTATACTCATGCACTAGAACTTATGCATTTAGAACTTAATATTTTGGCTTAAATGTACGTTTAAGATTTTCGAAACAACTTAAACGGTCATCGGCTTTAAAAAAAAAAAAAAAAAAAAAAAAAAAAAAAAAAAAAAATGCCTATATGCAAGTGATTTTTTTTAATATTGACGCATTTTCAGTAATGTTTTCAGTTTTGTTACAAAGAATCTGTGAGTACTGAAAACATACTATTGTGTTAAAAGAGTTATTTAGTTCATTGTTCTCATGATGTCCATTTCGGAAAATATTCTTGAAATATAAAGACTAATTTTCCTATATATTATAAAGTATTCTGCTTTCACATTTGTAATGGGAAAAAAAGAAAAACTTCCTTCTACCTGTAATTAGTATTCAAGTTGGTATGCATCTTTTATATCCGGTAAACAATTTGCAATCAACTTCTGGTTTACCGGTATAATACCGGACACGATGTCCACGGTTAACCCCAAAACTGCAATTTATCTAAGAGCAGGAAACACAGATAATTCTTTTCTTCCCTCGGAAAATCTCTTAAAAAGGAATAAAACATATTGTAATTAACGGAAATTACTGTTAACATTTTATCTGTATATTCAGCGGTTTAATCTGAAGAATAAGTTCGCTTGGTTATGTAAATTATATCTAAACGAAAAGAGTACACTGTAAATAACGGAAGAGTAAACATTAATTGAAAGGAATAAGAACCTAACCCTTAAATGGCATTAAGGAGTTATATTTGTAATAAAAATTGAACGAGGCCATTAAATACAAATTTCAGTAAAATGTTGGCTTTTTGTTGCACAATGTTGGTATAATCTGGATCAGCGGTTCTCAACTGATGGTACGTGTATCACTGGTAGTACGCAAGAGCAAAATAGGTGGTACGCAAAAGAAACGAAGTATTTTTAACTATTAAATTCAAAAATTAAATACTACAACATCCTGTTTAGTTGTTTTCTCTAACAGTCGTAGATTTATGCGATCTGAGTTTTGTTCAAAGTCAATAGCCGCTCATAGCCTTTAGCAAAATAATCCGTTTTTATTTTCACAAATATTCTTTTAGCCATAGTTGAAACAAAATTTGTCATAAACGATGTTTTTAAAAGGAGTAATAGAAATGGTTGTTCTATTTAATAGGAAATAAAAATAAATTCCTCTAAATAGGTTATAGTATCTCATTAATTCTTTTAGAGTTGATCGATTTATTAGCATGTATGCATTTTTATGGCCACTTTTTCCGGGCCCATATTGCTTTATTTTATATTAGAATAATTTTTTAACGTCGATTTGCTGTATCTAACAGTAGGTATTTTATCTTCTAGTTGCTTTGTATTCTATCCATTTTTACGCGAGTTAAGAATATCGTCGGTTTTTTTTTTTTTTTTTTTTTTTGAAGAGCTTGCAATATATTGTGCATTTAAAGATTTGTGAAAAAGTAATAAAATAAGCCTTGATTTTCAAAATGGAAAAATGGCTAGTATGGACTAAGCAGAAAAGTGATGACTCAAAGGTGATGGATCCAGGACAATCTACTAGTACTAATAATATAAAAAAAAAAAGAACAAAGAAAGAAAGAAAAGAAAAATTGTTTACAGAAAATATAATGAAAGTCATTTATCATTTGGGTTTACTTGGAACGGGGATGAACTGGACCCTCAACCTCAATTTGTTATTTATGGTGAAATATTATCCAACCAAAGTATGAAACCCCCATTTCTTAAAAGACGTCTTGAATCTAAGCATGCCAGCTTAAAGGATAAATCTGAACGATATTTTTAAAGGAAATTATTGGAGTTCAAAAATAGTAAACAAGTAATGAAAGGTTTTGTTACTTCAAGTGCTTTGGAAGATAGTTACCTAGTAAGTCTAACAATTGCCAAGATTGGGCAGGCTCACACTATTGAAGAAAACCTTATATTACCCACTGCTAAAATTATCAATTTAACATTATTCAACGAAAAAGAGGCTAATGAACTTGATAAAATTTCGTTATCAAATGATACAATAAGTCAAAGAATTCATGAAATGGCTAATTCTATAAAAAAGGCACTTATTCAAAAAAATAAAACACAGTGAGTATTTTGCACTGAAATTGGATGAAAGTACAGATATAACGAACTGTGTACAATTATTGAAATTATTGTGTTCAGTCATTGCGTACTGATGTAACGAATTATGTTACATACGTTTCGAAGAAGATAAATGAACTGCCGAAGAGTATTTGTTTTGTGAATCTCTTCATGATAGAAAAACTGAAAATGAAATCTTCAAACTAATTGACAATTTTATGTCTGAGAATGATATTGTCTGGATAAGTGCATTGCCGTATGTAGTTACGGAGCACGGGCTTTAACAGGAAAACATTCCGGTGTTATTCCTAAAATTTAAAAAAAAAAAAAAAAAAAAATCGCACCTGAACCTAAATTTACTCACT